TTAAACAATTAAGTTAAATCAAATTAAGAGATCTTCAAAATAGTTAGCAACACTAACCATACCCTTATATAATAGTGTATGCAATAAAATAAAAAATGTACTGTAATATATATATTCAGGAAAAGAATAGTACTAGTATATACGGTTTATAATTTCTTGGTTCTATGTGCCGGCCCCTAGTTTCGGATAAATCGATTTAAATTTTGAGTAACATTGGACTGTCTTTCCTGTGGACATTATCCTGAGCACGCACATGATACCACATCTATTTGCCGTTCTTTCCTTCGTAAATGGACCTCGAATTTTCGATATTTCCATTTCAAAAAATGACTTATCATATTACGTACTTACAACTTTAACAGAGACTCATCCAACGTGTACCATCTCACATCAAATGTGTTCCATAAAGGCTCTCGACTTTATATAAGCTAAACCATCACGTACCCATAACAATGAAAATTCAAGCATCTTTTATTTTTAATATATAAAATAAGAATGTAATAAATATTTTTTTTTTGTAATTAATGTATATAAAAATAATAAAAATTAACTTAAATTTAATAAATAAATTAATTAAAATTGTTTATTTAATATTATTACTAAAACAGAAATTAATTTTTATTTTTCTATATAAATTAATTATAAAAATATATATTTATTATATCTTAAAATATAAATCAAATAAATTTTAAAAAATAATATTATATTATAGAAGGTTGAGATTGAGAGGATAGTCTCTCTCCTATAATTCGATGCACATGATGCCACCTACCTTTTATTGGGGGGATTGCTTTGTTTGAGATCCAGGTATTTTGAAATGAATTAATTCCTCCACTGGACCCCACCCCTTTTCATTTTCATTTAGTGTCTGCTGGACCCCCAAAAATTTAAGTATAAGTTGTTTTTTTTTTTGGTACGATTCTTTCTTCTTTTTTATGAGTTTTTACTATTTTTCTCACATATATTTTATTATATATATTTTTTATTAATTATTATAAAAATAAAAACTAACTTTAATTATATTAACTATTT